TTAAAAAATGCTGCATCTGGCCATACAAGTGCCTCTGTCAGCAAAAATTTCCGTCGCAAATGGTCTCCATGTAGCCAACTTATCTTAACTAACAATCTTACCATAACTTGACTTATAACAAACTAACAATCTTACCATAACTTGATTTATAAGGTTACCATAACTTGACTTATAAAAAACTAACAATCTTACCATAGCTTGATTCATAAGAAAACTTACAATCTTACCATAACTTGATTTATAAGAAAACTAACAATCTTATCATAACTTGACTTATTAAAACTAAAAACCTTAGTTTTGATGAAGAAGATACCGTAATAAAGATTTTTATACCATTACGGTATTATAAATTTCTGTTGGGATAAATACCATTACGGTATTTATCGTTTTGACTTTTGCTGCATATCAATATTGTACGAATCGTGCTCACATCAGTTTGTCTACATCGAAAGTTAATCAATAGCTTGGAAGCTAGAAAACACCAAGTATATTCATTTTATTTTATATCGAAGTCCATATCTGGTCTCGAGACGTTGTCGATGAAAATTCGGTGATTTTACTTGAATTTCAATTCGTGCTTTATCTTGATTTTCCTGGGGCCAAAATGTGCATCCCAGACTTTTATAATGATAGTGTCACCAAGATATATGAAGATTCTCCATCAAAATCCTCGAACGTTCCTCAAAAACTTTTTCAATTTAAAGGAAGAAGTTTGGCTCTCATTGCCTCGACGTCAGTCAACTTCAAAGACAGAATTCCAGCTCAAACCTTTACCACTTTGAAAGGCACGAAATTTGCCATCATAGACCTTTTATTTTTGCGGAATTGTCTCGTCTCAGATCCTACGGAATTGGCCGTAAATTTCACGGAACATGAACTATGATTGCATACCTATGATTTTTAATTGTTTTAACCGTTAGATGAAAAATTCGTTAATGCTACTTATTAGAAAATAATGATTATTGTTGACTGTGAAACATATGATAATCACTTGGTGTGAGTGAAATTGGTGCTAATTTCTGAATGTGTAATTTTAATTATTTCTGAATTTGAAGAGCGTTATTATTACTGAATATTGAAACGTGTAAAGAGTAGAGATGAACACTTTACTAACTGCTAGTCAGTAAAGAATAAAGCTTAAAAAGACAAAGTTTGGATCTATCGTTGCTAATTATAGCTTACAGTATTGTGCCTAAGTTGCCTCTTTGTCGTTAACATTCAAGATTATCCGTTTTATATCAATATGTATAAACTGTGTGAGGATGCCACTGAACGTTAAGTTCCATCTATGCTAATATTATAATTGATTTTCATAATTAACGAACCTTATTATTTTCTGCATCTACATTGCAGTATTGAATGCGCCAACTTAATATTTATAAGCTTACTCTTTGTTTCAGTTGTCGTTACTCAAGAAATATCTTGAAAATATTCATTTTATGCAAGACCAGCCTGTGTGAAATGCTTTTTCAGGACAACATATCCCAACATAAAAGGCATCTCTGATTTCTTTCAACCATTCGGCCAAAAATTCAGCAAACATTTCTCCCCTTCAAAAGAGGTTTCGATATCGACAAACTCTCGAGCTCCCTGTCAAAGGAATTCTCAAGTCCTCCAGTAAAGGCCCTTTTTACCTTGCGTCTTTCCCTCTAAACCGACTCGGAAAGATTTCCCAAAACCACAAGTGTTTTGTGCGCCTAGAAAAAAGGGGCAAAGGAAGCTTCGGGTGCTAAAAATGATTGAGCTCAGCCGTTGCCAAAATTTATTGTAGTCAGGCAATTGCAAACGCCCAGTGAAGAGGAGTGAAATATCGCGGCAAATCCTGCGTAAATTTTACGTCGGATGTTCGCTTGACGTGACCGCTTGCAGTGAGACTTTCACTGTGTCCTTTTGAGAAACTTCCTAGAGCTCAGTTAATGGCTGGCAATTTTTCCACTACACCGTACAAAGGAACATGTTTCTTTGGCCTAATAAAATTCCCAATTCCAATGGCATGTTACCTATTCGAATGCAGGAAAAAAATTCATGTAATATTATAAATCAATAATGTTTCCAATACTGTGTTGTCTAATTGAATGCCGGATGAACGAAAAAGCTTCATATATTCAGATTCCAACAGTAAATATTCAGATTGCTACAATATGTTTCTACTTTAAATGCAGGATATACGAAGAAGCTTCATCTATTCAGATTACAGCAGTAAATACTCAGATTGCATTAATATGTTTCCACTTTAAATGCAGGATAAACGAAAAAGCTTCATAAATTAAGATCCCGATACATAATTTTTAGATTCCATTTACATTCCATATGTTTGAGTGATGGAGGAAAGAATAAGTTCTGACCTAAAATTTAACTTTCACAAATTTATTCTGAAAGTATTTAGAGATTAGTTCTCTAAAAGGCATGGAAATATTTATTCCATTATATTAAATATCAAAGGAAAATACAGAACGGTTGCGAGTGTGTGATGTTAGCATCAATAAATTAGCACAGCTGAATAAATTAGCATTCGATGGCAGGTTAATCTTCAGTTCTTTTGATATAAAAATGTCAAACGCGTACATTAATCTTTCTTAATTCTAATTAAATAAAACTGTATCTTTATGTGTCTTGCTGGCAGAAGTTTTAATTATCATGGTCATTTCGATTAGTAATAATTAATTCGCTGGAACCGTGTAAAATTTATTTATATTTTATTATGTTATGATCATTTCAATAAACTTTGACGAGTGTTAAACATGTTAAGTCGATTTTACTTAGAGTTTTTCAGGTGTTGCTTGAACCTTATAAATTTTTAAACTTATTAGTTATACATTTGTTCGTAGCTAGACAGAGATAATGAAATCTATCGAAGAATATCCGTAGATTAATTGGTTGATCCGTAGCTTAATTAAATTGTTGTTTCTGTTCGTTAGGGTATTATATGCAATATTTTCGTGCATGCATGTTTGACGGAAGTCAATGCAACTTCGCATGATTATTAATATTCAATAAAAATTGGATGTAGATAGATTTCATTTGATACACGCCATGTTCTACAGATATATATAAGGCCGTAACAGAATTTTTAAGCCTTGTTAGCCATGAAGAGGACCAAAATACCTTGTGACTCAGCTTGGGACTTTCAAAATGGACTAATAATATTTTTTACACATGTTCAGTGTCTTTTAATTTCCCATACCTTTGTTAAGAAATCGGGACAAAGCATATTTTGAGCCTTGCATTGTTGAGCCAAAGCACAAACAGGTTAATAGTTCACGTTATTTATGCAGGTTATAGGAACGATGGTCTGCGTTGTGTCAGTGCATGACACAGGAGATTGCAGGTGCCAATGGAGCGCATCCAATTACGCGCATGGTTGTGTTTGCTCTGTCAGTTTAGATGTCGCCAATATTGGCTAGAGTATTGTAGGGCACCGAGGCCTGATATTGGATCGGCCAACACCATCCCAATCCTAGCTATAAAGAACTCTGAAGAGCACTCGTAGACACTCGAGCGCCTTCCACGATATCGTCCATGCGGCACTTCAATTCAGCCCGCTTGTACGCACTAGCTGAAGCTCTAACGGAGTTCTTCAAAAGCAATGCACTTCTTCAACTTAGTTCGTTATTAACTGAAAATTTAATTTCGATTACTTCATAATGAAATTCCGGTATTTTCATTTCATTTTTTGAACTATGTATGCGGCGTTTAAATTCTTTATTGCCTAAACTTGCGATGGACCCGTTTACAAATTGTGTAAATTTCAATGAAAAATTTATTGAACTCAAACTCGTCTATCCTGTAATGAAGCGTTCAGTTATCTTCACGGCACCGAGCGGTTTCTATACATAAAATTCTGGAGCTGACCTCCTCTTCGTAAAAATATTTCTAGCCGAAGAGTCGCTGGAAAACTTTTTTTGTAACAAACAATCCTGCGGGTCTTCCAACAGCGTCGCGAATCGACTTGTGATCCACCCTGCAATCCATCCCATCCGCCAGCCCTTGAAAGAACACAAACATGTTTTGAAGCTCGAAAGGTTCAGAGGGGAAACAGTAACTTCTAAGTCTGATGCTCGAAAATATTTCTTAGAAGCGATGAAGCAAATAAGGTTCAGCCCCTATCCGCCTCACACATGACTTTTCTCGGGCTTCTAAAGTTGGATTTGTTAAAAATTATTGGAGGAATTTTTTTTACAATAAATAAATATACATATCTTAGAATAGAATAGAAGTGTCGGCATTGAAGAAATAGGCCCATGGCCTGTTGCCGAATAAGTTGTAATCTTATTTGCAATTCCAACTTGAGTTGTAAACTGTATACATACATAAATGGTTAGTTTTTTCTGTCCATTCATGCAATAACAGGTTTTTTTTAGGATCTTCAGTTCAGCTATTGTTTTTAACCAAGTCTTTTTTTTTTTTTTTGCAGTGGCTGTATAAATGAACTAATGTACACATTTGCGAATCATGATCAAAACCAAAAACAACACAATGGTGTTTGTTTCAACACCCATTTCGTGCGGGCGTTCAAGTCACTAATTTTGTATTAGATTAGCATTAAAATAACTACATTTTTTATTAAATGAAGCATGTCGAAAACGCGCTTTTAATTTGAGCGTGATTCCTGCTTTAAACACGTGAGACCGGCCGCGAGATCGGTCGAAAGTCCGGCCGTAAATTTGTCCAAGACGTAATAATCACCGATGTAGTATCCATCACTTAGAAGGATATATAATCGACTACCTAATTATTAGTTAGATTCCAACATTAGAGCCGAAAATATACAGACCAGACACATCCTTTTTATTTACCACTACATGTTAATACTGAAGTCATACCAAATTGACGTGACGTCAAAAATTTAGAAGTGGTTCAATTTACTGTACTGTGTACTGTACTGTACTGTACAGTTCTTTAAAGAATACTTAATAGTATAGTTTATATGTCAACTTTATAAATACTCGGTATTAATTACATTATTATTCGCTTTTTGCTAATAATTTGTTGCTTCGTCTATTTTTTTCATCAAGTGCGGAAAGATTTATTAAATCCAGTAAAACTATGTCGTCAGGGAGAGTCTTCACTGTTGAACTGTTCCTTTATTAATTCGGTTGGAATTGGATTTTGACGCACGTGAGTGTTTAAGACTTTAAGTCTAAGTTTGTGTGTTGAGTTTTAACCTTATTTCATTCCTTTTGTTCTCTCATGGCCGGGCCCGGAAAGTGCTGAGAAAAATATTTAACTGCAGTCTGTATTGATGATTTTTGAGAAAATTTGTCCTGTCCATGTCCTTACCCATACCCAGCACCCGCTAAGCCACTGTGCAGAGAGTGGATGAATATTGCAAGATCTTTGGTGACGCTTCAGTAGCCAAATTCTCGCCTTCAGAAGATCTTGCCGACACATTTAGATTGAAATTCTTGCATTTAATATATTTCTCAGTCTTCGGCCAACTATTTAGAAAAAAAGTAAGGTTTCTGGTACGTTGGATGGATTACGTCATTACGATGCAGCGAAGCTTGTCCGGAAATCAGTTGTGATGAGTTCCCGCGAAAAATGTAAACAACGTTTATACGATTGCGTAGTTTCGGTCACATTAGAGCGGTCAGACTGCTTTATTACATGTTCAGTTGAGACTTGCTGTACAATCGGACTGTTTTTAGGGTAAAATTAGTTATTTGGGGTAACACGTGTATCATGCAACCTTCTAAATAAGTTCGTGGCTTGTAAATAGTTCGTCATTACTCAGCGTAAATGGCTTTTCATTAAAAATTACCCGGCGACGCATCTTTAAAATGGCCGGCGACGCTTTGGGCTTAAAAATCCATATATTGGCGACGCTGCATCCACCCTCTGCATAGTGGCCGCTAAGTAAGTGCTACCGTCAATGCCACATAGTCATAAGTCGCCACTTTCGGAAAACGCAATAGAATACATAGTGGCAAAGCCGAGAGTTTTTTAGACTCTCCCACAAATTCAATTTCGATTACTATAAGTAGACCAGTAAACTCAAGTAAAGTATCGTGGATACCAGCATTATCATACATAAGAAATTGGTTTAAATATTGAGTAATTGAGGAAATTAAAAATGCACTGATTCTAAAAAATCTCTAGTTTGCCACTATGATAGAATATATTGGATTTTGAAACACCAATCAGCTAAAAATTAAATGTAACACTTGTACAGGGTTGACTAATGTTTAGACATTCGAGAAAAAAAGTCACGAGGTTTTTTTATTGCTCAATCATATAATAAAATGGAAGTTTTTGAGCCCCGTCAGGAGTGGTGACTGGTGAGGTATATAGTACCTGCTTTAAAGTCGCCAGCAATACTGACGAAGGGTACACTAAAGTCGCCATAGCCTGGCGAGGTTATTGCAGTCTTTTCGTGAATAGCGCCTGCATGAGGTACAGTAGAGAAAGCCTCAAATTTAGGCAAAACCAACCCTTGAACTTTGGTCTTTGTTTAAGAAATTAATAAATAAATGCTTTAAATATTGTTTTTGTACAAAAATAAATGTAACCTCAATGAATAAATTATTTTCCTGGCTATAATAAGTAAGAGGATTCGAACTAATCTTAAATTCGTAAAAAGAAACTCGTTTCACTGCATCGAATATCGATGTTGGGAGGGCTGTTCATTCGCACATTTATCCACCTCGATTCCAATTCATCGAAAAAACGCACTTCAGGGACAGGCGGTTCCGTATAAAAAATTAGTCTGTTACATAGTAGTGTGGCACACTAGTCAGTAATCTAAACAGAATTCACGAATTTCCTTGTATGCAGCGTGAAGAATTTCCTCAAACCTAAAAATATAATTCCCGACCCTATTTCTAACTCAATGGCCGAAACAGCGCACTGCACCACACTTAAAAGAACTCGACCGCTGAAATGCTGGTGTACGTTGAGTCCTTCGTCAGACACTGTAAATATTGTAAGAAATAAATAACAGCTGTGAAATTACGTCGCAAACTTGTGAGAAGTTTGCGAAGGGGTGGCCCAGTGGAGTTCAGAGTACCATGATTGACGCAGAGAAGCGCGGGTTCGATCCCAGGTCTGTGCGACAGTTTCTGGTCAGAATCGGCAAGGAGGCCGGACAGTTAAGCAAAGCAAAATTGAAGCAGTGAGTGGCTAGTTCGAGACCGCAAAATGCTGTGAATGTTCTGTTGAAATACACATCAAGTATTATTATAAGAGATTTCTCTGAGTAGTTAGCCTTATTAAGCTTATTTAGTAGAAAGACAACTCCGGTCTTGCCTATTCAAAATGTACTCAGAGCAGCAGCTCTATGCTTGACCCTTTGTTCGCGCAACTCCAATCGTTGCAAGAGTATCGTGCTCGACTTTTGAAGTAGTTTTATAAGCTTTTAAAAGTCTAATTGCTATTAATCTTAGAATAAATATGGGCAATGAATGCTTTTTACAGTATTTAAGACCTAACTTGGACACAATTATTGCGTTGTAGGTATTAAAAAGTAATAAACATTTATCTTCAAATCCTGGCTCTTAAAGCAAATAACCATCACAAACTTCGCCATTTCTCCCAAAATTATAAACACATAAGTCGCCAGTTATGTTTGGGATAGATTATAAATAAATTTCCATATCATTAAAATCAGGGAGAACAAGCAAAACGAACCTCTGTTTACTGCGTTTCACCTCGGTATGACCCAAACTTCGAAGGGAAAACATTTTCGCGGAAATAAAGTATCGCCCAAACGCAGTTCATCAAGCAGAATGAAAAAATTCGTTTCACTCAACGAATTTTCGTCATGTTGATTTGAAATCTCAAAACTAATAACAAATCAATTGTTGAAAATGCATTCTACTATCTTTAGGCAATATTAATAAATGTTCTAGTATTTTCCTATGATAACGAAATGTTCGTATTGGGTCGATTTTAATAAATATTTCCATTTCCTTGCAGCGTGGCGACTTTAGTGAGGTGGCAACTTTAGTGGCATTGACGGTAACTGTTAAGTGACTACGGACTACTCGGGACTAGTAAGCGACCTCAAGTTCATTTTGAGACCTAGTAGTAGATCTTTGAGTCATTCATTGTGGTTTGTCACTATGCTTTTCTGTTTACAAATTCAATCCAGATTATTATCTGACATAGTGGCAAATGAGAACATTTTTTTGTTGCCATTCTGACAAAATTCATTTTTGAGTCCTAAGTGAGTAAATTTGACTCAATTAGTCAATAATATTTCATGTGAGTGCAGACCAGACCAGTAGTAGTAAGTATCGTATCACTATCATGGATAGACCAGCATTATTATAGCTACCATAATAAATTTAATATACCGGTACCTTTGATATTGTTTGAATTTTTCAAAACCTTGAGTAGAGAAGGGAATAAAAAATTAACTGGTTCAAAAAAATCTCTTGTTTGCCACCAAGCCCACTGCACTATACTACCTAGCCTAATACTAATAGTACCTATGAAAAAAAGGCTATGATCTAGATTCCAGAATAAAGATTTAACTCTAATATTGGAATAATCATAATTTTTACTTGAAAGTTAAACTATGTTACTCCATTATCAGATAAATACTTTGTGTAAATTTTAAATTTTGGCGCAGTCTACTGAGTCTAGACAGTGAAATGTGTAAATCCAGACAGCAAATAAAGAATATAGGTAGAAATTTTCTGACCAATTTGGAAGATAGGCCTGTAGTTTCCTAAAACAATTGTTTCATGTGTGATTTTTGAAAATTGCAGATAAAAATAGGTAATTAATATTAATTAGGTATTCCTATTCTTACCTAGAGAAAATTGGAAAAAGCTATAGGCAAAGGTGGCATTGGTCATTGGCCAGATTCATGGTTGGCTTCTGCCCAATTTTTCAGTTAGGCTTTCCATGCCATGACTAGAGATTTTTTGTGATTTTTGGAGCCACAATACTCCTACTAGATGAATTATGCCCTAGCAAATTGTTGATAGAAGTGCACGTCACCGCAAGTGAATGTGTGAATTTTCTACTTTATGCACCGTACTCTTTTTAACTAGTAGGTAGATGGAAGATAATTCATCTAGTGACTACAAAAATGGCATGAAAGCTGTAATTTCAACTTGTAAAGGAGAAAATATATTCCATGCCTCTTACTAATAACCCATGATTTGATGAGATCTGTTTTCTATTGATAAAAATACATTGTTGAATTTAGGTGAGACTTGATTTCTTCATAATTATAAGCTTAATATTTTCATTTACTAAAAATTTTATGCATTTCAGGATCCAAAATGATGGCACCACTTCATCTGCGTAAAATTTTCATTGGCGGGCTGGACTACAGCACCTCAAGTGATGTTCTCAAGCAGCATTTTTCAGCTTATGGCGATGTAGTTGATGCTGTAGTTATGAAAGACCATTCTCTCAACAGGTGAGAGATTAAGTGAAATAATGATAACTTTTTCTAATTATTAATATGTAATTATCAAGACAAAGCAATATTTCTTTGCTCATATTTGTTTGGTAGGGCCAATTGACAGCTAATTACACAGAATTTTGTTGATTCAAAAAGCTATATCATATGTAAAATTCCAAGTAAAACTAGTACATTTATAAATATTCTTTTAGAAATTTAATGCCTATTACTAGCAAATAAGTAAACATTGGAAAAAGAACTTGATAATGTTTTTTTATATGTAGTTAGGAACTTGAGCCCTAATGTTTTCCTAAACAACAATAAATTGCTTTGTTGAACTGAGTTATTTCTCAATATTTAGCCTCATTCATAATTCCAAGTGCTTGAATATTTGCACATTCAAAGACAGAATGTATTGTAAAACATAGTACTTAAGATACAATGTGGCTCTATAAATAGATAACTGTTAAGGCAACTGTATACGTGTTAGTAGAATATGATTCATTAATGATATATAGTAAGAAATTAGTTGTTTAGCAATTTTCTTATTGCTATCAGAACATGATAGTTATAACTATCATAATTTACAGCACTGTGATAGGCTGCTAGCAGCTTAACCCAGCATTGCACTGAACAGATATACCATATGTTAAGCACCACAATCCCAACACATATTTTTGAACAAACCTCCATAAATATGTAATAGATTTTTATTTCTCTCCATATCTAGATACTTGAACTATTTTTGTAATTAATCATATAGCTTTTATTTTAATATAATGTTTAGTCTCCTTGGAATATTTGGCTCATTAAACTTTATGAGAAGTTTGAACTACCAATGTTGATATGCATTCAATTCTGAAATTTTTTTGCAGTGAGCTGTATCACAGGTTAACATTCTCATTCTAAGATTCATTTGGATGCATATCACCCAAATCTGTGTCAAATTAACTTGTGATTTCTAAATTTGTTCAATTTTTCAGGTCTCGGGGATTTGGTTTTGTTACATTTACCAATGCAGATCATGTGGATGCTGTTCAAAGAGCTCGGCCACATAGAGTAGATGGCAGAGTTGTGGAGACCAAACGAGCTATGCCACGCATGGAAACGACTAATCTACCTTCAAAAAACTCTACTTCAGAAGGCTCAAACAATAGACTCTTTATTGGAGGCTTACCGCAGGTAATTAAAAAAGATCATGTTGTTGTCTATTCTTAAAAATTTTAACTAAACTCAATTTTGGAATTTAATTACACGTGTGTGTAATGGCAGAACAGAGTCACTAGTTTATATAAAATTGCCTTCTTATATTACATGGCTACATTTCAATGATTATAAGTGGGGAACAAGATACTTCAACAAACACCTCGGGCTTATGTAAACTCAGAAGGCTGCACTTGTATATATTTTTAAAAGATTATGCTTGGTTCTTCTCTTTGTAGAGTAGTTGACAGATAGAGTTGTAGGTATGTTTATTTTTATTCATCCATAAGCATTGAATATCCATTCAGCCATTATTCTATTTATTCTTCAATTTATCAATTTAACAAAACATAATATGAAGATGACCGTCACTTGATTTAAATTAGGACTATGCTCAATTATCTTGATGTTCTCTTGGCTAAAATCTTTTTGGCTAACTCTTGATACCAGTAAATGCGTATTAGGTATAGGTGTAATAACTAAATGTATTTAAACATAATTTTCAACAAACTACTATCTAACAAAATAGATGAAACGCATCAGCTTACTTTTTAAGATACTCACTTTGGTAATAATATATGACTATTTGTAGTAGTAGTAATTTTTTTCATTCACTTTTTTCAGAATCCATCAAAGATATTTCTCAGAATCCTCTTTTAATCCTGATAATAATTTTTCTTTGACACTTTTTTCTGTTATTTTCATCAGGACGCCAAAGAAGCTGATATTCAACAGTGCTTTGAGAAGTTCGGTCAGATCACCTGTGTGAACATCATGTATGACAGCTCCAGTGGACGGCATCGAGGATTTGCATTCATTGATTTTAATGACTATGATCCTGTTGACAAAATTCTGTGTGCGTTATAATGCCCATTAGCATAAAGTTTTTAACTACCTTATATTTACTCATCTACAAATAAAATGTTTATCATTTATTGGTTATTTTTGGTCAAAATTCACTCATTTTGTATTCTTGTGACTTATTTTAGTTTTAATTAAGGCTGTTGACAATGGGTGATTTTATTAAGTGTCGAAAAGACTTCATAATTCATTCACATAAGTCATTTAGAGATATATTGAAGACTAAAATAAGCATTTTCTTATTGTTTTCAGTGACCAGACATCACGTTATAAAAGGGAGATCAATAGATGTTAAAAAGGCGATCAGCAAAGCAGACATTAACAAATTGAAGAATTTTTCCTCTGGTAATGCGACGGATGCTCAAGCTATGCTGCACACATTATTGCAAAGCGCGGCCTCACTGCCGGCTCAGGCGTCAACTCTACTGCATCCACATGCTACTGCTACTGCGTCCATACGTCTCCGTACTGCCGCAACTCGACCACATTTTCCTACAGCTAATACAGTTCCAATTCGCGTTCCTGCGAATGCCATTCCAACCTTTGCACATAATAATGTCACTTCCCCATTCAGTAAGTTTGTCACTACTGTCGCTTTTGCTGTAGCTTTACTCAAAATTTAAATACAGTCTAGTTTAGCAATTGTAGTTTGAATTGAATATCTTCAGCTATCGGCTAACCTCCTGGGCACCGATACAATTTTTTTGTGTGCTTTATGCAAACGTATTGCATTTTTTTGCTCCTTTTTGTTTGAATAGTGATTACAGCTATCTTTTATTTTACACATTTATTTCAGGTTCAGGGATTCAACCACAACTGAACTCATTTAACGCAAGCAATAATATACTTGGTGCTGGAAGGCAACAGCAACAAAACCCTAATAACCATGGTTGGCAGTACAGCGTTAGCAGCACAGCTGAGGTGCTACGATGTAACGCCGGCTCAAGAGCTAGAGCTGGAAGCAATGGCAGCATTGAAACGCTAAATAACCAGGAAACCAGTTCTAATATAAGTTCTGGGAAAGACCAAGTTCATGACCAACTAAATCCTGAATTGATTCAAAATATATCAAATCATGAAACATCTAGAAACGTTGCAACTCTGAATAATCACTCTAGTACAAAAAATTACGCTAATGCTGAAGTATGGCAAAGCAATGCTAACTGTGACGTGTGGCGCAACAAAAGCCAAGACGATAAAATTTCAAGTAGTACGAGTGCGATGCTCACAGGTATTAAAAGTGAGCCTCATCCTGGAATTTCTACTTCATCACTAGGTTTGTTGATCAAGTCAGTTTTGAAATCAAACCATTATGACACTTTGGCTAAACAATGTGTTCCCCTATTGCGACCATATAAAATTAAATTGTTATGATTATCTGTTTTTACTTCCTATACAATTGAGTGCGTTTACGTGAAAAAAAATTACTACACTTTATCAAGCAATGCTGAATGTTTTCAATTTGTAATTTCGATTTGTTTTGTAATCTAAATTTACTTTTGTTTATGTGTACATCTTCTCTCCAGGGATCGCAATCAAATGCGAGGATGCACCAATGTCTGACGATGGAATGTCCAGCGATGCCAGTCGTATTATCAACGGTACTGGAGATATGGGCCCTACCGACGCTTGTAGCAACAGCATACAATTTAACGGAAGAACGCATGATGAGGCAAATTCTTCCAATTTCAATGCAAGAACAACTGATGGGAATTCAACACAATCCTCTTCTGTAAACGAGTCTCTTCAAAACGGATCCTTGGATATGTGTCCACCCAATGCTCATTTACTCTTCATTGAACCCTTCTGTGGTGGATCTCATAAGCAGCTTCTGCAGACTATTTTATCTAGTAAGTGAATTTTATCAAGAGACAATTTTATCCAGTATGTGAATTTAGAATGTGATTTGCTTCTCCAATTGCAGTATTTAATCACACAGGAAAGAATCACATCACGTGCTCATCACATGGATTAATACATGTCTGAACTTAGCAACAGTTGCGTGTTTACTCGCATATTTCGCAAGATCAGCAGACCAAATAATGAAAATCCCTACAAATAGTTAACAAATCATTATCAGCCACCCACTTGCCATTATGTTTTCATTTATAAACTTAGTTGCAAGAACTTGGTCCTGGACAGCTATATTTTTCAGTGCTAGTTTTCGTCTTTCAGTCTAATATGGTACTATAAATTTCCCGGTTTTCCTACCCAGCATCTGGACTCACACCTCCCGATGCGGCCGCAGTTTTCACCTTGCCAGCCAAGAAGTGGCATTGGCGCGCCCGCACCTCAGCCCTCAACTTCAGCCAAAGTATCCCGTCTACGCACCTATTCAGGGTGAGGAATGCGGCACCTAGGACCGTGCTATCAAAACTTTCTCACGTATACACGTTGTAGTTGTTTATTGCGTCCGTCACGCTCACCTGGGGGAGAGCTCAGGTGGTGGGCGAGGGGAAGGCACCGGAAGAAGGGGGAGATGGGCGAAGGCAGGGAGGGTGGCCAGGAACGCCGCTGCCTCCACGGGGCTGTCCCACAGTGAGGAGACGCTGAGGGACGTGGGGAAGGCGGGGCAGGCGAAGAGATGCTGGACGGGCTGGAGGGGATTCCGGCACTCCGGGCAGGCGGAGCTAGGGAAGCGTCCGATCCTAGCGGAGTAGGACGCCAGGGAGCTGTAGTATTCCGAGCGGAGCTGGGATAGCGCAGAGCGGTAGGGGCGAGGGAGTGAGGCCTCCACTGATGCAATCGGCGGTGGCGGGGCTGCGAGGACGGCGTTGATAGCGTCAATCGCCGCAACGCGGGAGGCGATCTCCCTGCGGAGGGACCGCTTGGCCTCTCCGTAGGCACTTGCGTCGAGGTTCGGCCACAAGATGGCTGAACCTCGACTGGATGGAGGCTTTCATATGGCGGTTTCCGGGGGAGCAGAAACGATGAGGAATAAGGTATGGGAGGGCGCTGGCGAGGAACTGGGCACAAGCCAGGTCCAGGTGCGCGGACAAGGGGAGGAGGACACCGATCTCCTGGTGAGGATGGGCGATTGGGGCCATTTTGAGGCAGCCGGTGGCTAGTCTCAATGCAGTGTTTTGTATTATCTGCAGGCTGGCAACTGCTGAGCGCGAGGCGACAGGGTACCAGATGGGGCCGCGTAGTTGAGGATTGGGCACGTGATGGTTCGGTAGGTGGCAATAATGTTCTCCATGGAGAAGCCCCAGTTGGTGCCAGCGAGGGCTTTTAAGATGCAAAGAGAACCCGTCGCTTTCGTGGCGATGGCTCTTACATGAGGGGAGAACGTAAAGTGGACGCCCGTATCCCAGGTGACGCCTAGGATTTTAGGAGTTTTATCCAGGGGGATGATGCCGTTGCAGATAGTGGCAGATGGGTGGGATCGGGATTGGTGCGTATCTGGGGTGAAGAGCGTAACCGAGGACTTGCCAGGAGCCACGCCCAGTTTCTTGACAGCCGACCAATCTGAGACGCTGCGAAGGAGCACAGCGAGCTCAGCCTCCGCAGCCTCGAGCCTTGGTGTCGACACGAAGATGGTATAAGGTCATCCGCGTATGAGGCAATGTTGGAGATTGGCACTGGGATATCGGAGATGAAATGGTTAAAGAGGGCCGGCGAGATGACCGAGCCCTGGGGAACGCCCGAGTGGATAGCTCTGAAAGGCGATTGTGTTCTCAGGTAGAGGCAAGATGCCTGCCTGCCTCTGAGGTAGCAGCACAGCCAGCGGACCAGGTTATGATGTAGGACCGAAGCCGCGACCATGCTTAGAAAGAGACGGTGGTCGACACTGTCGAAAGCCTTCGAGGGGTCGACTGCAGCGGCGACTGTGCGGGCTGGAGGGCGCCGGTGACAGTGGAGTGTCCCGGTTTGAAACCATGTTGCGAGGGGACGGTGGTGAGGGATCCTAAGATGTACGGGAGCACAAGACGCTCTAGGATATTGGCTGCAGGGAAGATGAGGGAGATAGGGCGGTATGAGGAGCCCTGGTTTCCGGGTTTGCCCGGTTTGAGGATTGGAATAATTATTGAATTTTTTCAAATGGATGGGATAAAGGCTGTGGGAACGGAGATGTTAAAAATAGGGGTGAGGAACTGGACACCTCGTGGGCCGAGGTGCTTGAGGTGAAGGATCGTGAGGCCATCTGGACCTCGAGCGGAAGAGTTGTTGGCGGCTGCGATGGCGAGCTTCACCATGTCGGGTGTGAAAGGGGATAAGTCCCTGTCGAGGAGGTGTTCAGCCCGGATTCGACGTATGAGGCGGCGGGTGGAGGGGCTTTGAGAGTGCGGAGCGATCGAAGTGAAGAGCTTACAGAAGGCGGAGGAGATCTTGTGCTGGGAGGAGAGGGAATTCAGACCAATTGGATTGGCTGATTGGGGGGCGGGAGTGAGGTTACGCTTTCCGGCTAGAGAGCGGAGGAGATTCCAGTGCTTAGAAAAACATGGGCTTCGGGTCCCCCTTTCGAGGACGGGGAAAGATTATCACCCACGCACATGAACTAACTCCAAACAGTCCAGAATGCAGCACTTAGGATAGCCACAGGCTGTACCGCAGACACTTCCAAACGTTCAGACACTTCCTTCACCAAGAAACCAAACTCCTACCCCTAACACAACACCTCAAACTTCACGCCTACAACTTAGACAGAAAGCACAAAACCCAACCCACCCACTGCATACCCTCACCCTTCAGCCGCACCCACACCGTCTCATGAAAAAAAACATTTTCCACAACACAGGTTTCACCACCAACATAGATACTCCGCCTGCACAAGCTACACAGGACACAATCAAACAAAATCTCAAAACAATCCACACTACAATTACAGAAAACTATCTTGCAACCCTCCCTCACAATAAAATTTTAAACATGCACGCACCACAGATTCACCCATCTGAAATCAACCTACCTAGACCTGCACGCAGGAACCTTGCCCAACTTCGCACAAATAAATCACCGCTACTTCTCTCATATCTAAATAAAATAGACCCTGCCACACACCCTTTTCTCCTGCCCTAAAATGCCCACATCCCTGTCGGTGGGTGACCTTTGGGCGGACCCCGTAAACGCTGCAGGGCGGCTGGCCCGCTGGGGCGACCGACTTGGCTGGCCCCAGAACTGGGTCTAGGCCCCGCTTCGCGCCGTGAAGCGAGGTGGGGAGGGTCAAGGTCAACAACGACAACATTCCAGGGCTTAGATTGGTTTGTGCGCCTGCTGCAAGACGCAAAATGTGTTCGCCATGTGTTCTTAGCATGGGCCTGATTGGAAATACTAATTTCCAGGTTAAGTTCTGGGAGCTGGGGGTCGGTTGGGTTGCGCGCCCTGATGTCATCCCTTGCTCGATGAGCAACCGGTTACCAGGGTTGACAGAGGGGGAGAAGTCTTTCCGGAATCCGGCAGCAGTCCAGCAGCAGTCGTCAAGACTTCTCTCAAGGTCGACTCACCGCCACACGAGGTGGGGGGAGGGGCCATCTCGAGTGCCGCTTCGATGGCTGCCGTGTATGCGGGCCAGTCAGCTTTTTTATAAAGTGACGTAAAGGCGGGCGGCCCGGGGGGTCGGCGGAGGAAGGGAGATGAATCAGGATTGGCAGGTGGTTCGAGTTGAGAGCGACTTGAGGAGGCCAGGAGGTGCTGAGGAGTAGATGATCGCTGATGATGGCGAGGTCCGGAGAGGAGGGCGGGCCATGGGAGAGGAGGCGGGTATGGGAGTCCTCATTGAGGTAGGCGAGGGAGGAACCGGCGACGAGGTCGTCGATTACGGTTCCTCACGCTGCGGCTCTCTGGTCGTCCGTGTGGGAGAACCAGAAGGGATGATGGGCATTAAAATCGCCCACTATCAGACAGTCGCCCGGTATGGAGACTTTGTCTGAAAGTTCCGGGGAATATCCCGGGGGCAGGAGGAGGCCGGTGGAATGTAGACATTAATGATTCGAAGAGGGGAACCATTAAGAGGGGTGGAGATTGCTATGGCCTCCATGGTGGTGTCGCCGCGTAGGAGGGGAGACATGTCTCATCCGGTGTACGGGACATCGTGGCGGATCAAGATGAGGAGACCGCAACCGTGACCACCGGGGCGGTCCCTGCGCTCCAGCGCGTATCCGGGGAAGGAGAGGGGGCGGGATGCAGCTGATAGCTTGGTCTCTTAGAGACAAGCAACCGCCACGTCGTTCTTGGCGAGGTAAGCAGCCAGTTCAACTGCACTGGATTGGATCCCATTACAGTTAAACTAAAGTACGCAGAGGTGGGAGGGGGCCAGCTTTGGGGGAGGCCGGGGATTCGGGCGAGGGAGAGGAGGGTCTGGCTGGGATGGGGTCAGACCGTCTGAAAGTAAGGCAGATCCAATCTTTGGAGTAGAGATGAATGGAACGCAGGCCGGAGCACCGCTTGTGGGTCCAGGTATTGCACCTGGAGCACAGGAACGAATATCCTCGCCACGTGACTGGGAGGGTGCAGACGGAGCAGGGGTCCGGGCCAGGGTTGGGATGGATAACCTGGGTCAGGAGAAGGACGAGTAGGGAGAATAGGTGAGAGGAGAGAAGGGCACAAGGTGCCCCTGGAAAGATAGTCGTCCAAAGATGTGGGTAGGGGAAAGGGGAGGCCGAGGTTCTCCAACCCTTGGTCGATAAAAAGGAAGAAAGAAGCATCCGTCCGGGAGCGATCTGGGCGGGGGGGCCTATGCCGTTTGGCCTGGTCCGCGAGCAAGCCGGGCATCCGGCCGACGCGTAGGCCAGGGTACCCCCACGACGTAGACGCGGCACAGATCGGGGGCACGTTTACACGTAGCGGCGTCTGTGTTTAGCATAAGTATACACGATTTCTGGTCTGTGTTTAGCTTTAATAAACGTCGGTTATTGGCTGACGGTGTTACGAACTCGCAACTATTTTTAATATTACCATAGTGTGTGTTTTTGTTCTATCTATAGCTTGAAAATTCGTTTTCAAGCCATTAATTATTAGTCACAGAGCGTGAAGTCAAAACTGTTACAAGATCGTTCAAGGTAAAATCAGCAATCTCAGATGAAAAATCGGCCAACATATACTACGATAGCACACCCCTGGACAAAATCAGGTTGAGTGATGTTTCGTTTCATAATATTTTGGATAACGAATAAAATCACTCTTGTTCATACATTCATATTCATAGAGTCCCTAAAACGTGTATAAATTGACGTTCTATGCTTTTCAGGTATTATTTTGCTCAGCAACGTTGAACTTGTGTGAGCTGATAGGACTGAGACCAGACCTCGCTCCTCTGCGCAAAATCATCTACTTCCACGAGAACCAACTCGTCTATCCTGTACGCGACACCAAAGAAAGGGACTTCCAGTACGGCTACAATCAAATTCTCTCAGCGTAAGTTATTTACCATAGGAAGATTCGCGCATCAATTGTATTTGAACGTATGCTCGCCTTCCCGATGCTCAAATAGAAATTTGCAAATTGCTACAAAATTAATATTCTATAAAAAAGTAATTCAAATATGCCAACATTTTTCACAATATTAGAAAGCTTGTGAAATTATCCATTGTATGGTATTTTTTGAAAAAAAATTTGAAGCTTATACAGTGCATATTCCCCAATGATCAATTAAATAAGTTGTATAGAGAGAAAGTAAATTCTGTCATTATTTTGGGGATCTTAATTATAATTGTTTAAAAGTATCTTTTGCAGCAAGTAAACATTTTAAATGTCATTAATTCTCACAGTGGTTCCTATGTATACATACATATCAATAGGTGAATGCTTGAAGTATTTGTTTTGCCAGTTAATTCGTGATGTAAAATATTCTTCTAATTTCGACAAATGCGTTTATCCGCCCGTTGTCACACCTACTATAGGAAATCTTGTTACCAGGCATTAAGATGGGAATAGTTTGAGTAGCTATGCAGAAGCAAAGAGTTGAAGCAACGTTTAGCGCCGTGCTGTCAAAAATCACTCAAGTGCACTCCGCGGCCTAAGTATACGTAACGTCCTCAATACACGTAGCAGCCTCAGGACACGTAGAAGCCTCAGGACACGTAGCAGCCTCAGGACACGTAGCAGCCTCAGGACACTTGGCAGCCTCAGGACACGTAGCAGCCTCAGGACACGTAGCAGCCGATTTCTCGTTTGTGATTTGTGGGTTTATCTTGGATCAGTAATTGGTTGATGGAGTTACGAACTCTGAAATAATTTTAATGGCACAATGTCAGGAGAGCTGATTCTTAAAGAAGGCATTTATGCTGGCAGGCTGGTAGCAGACCGCGTTGTCTTCAACTCCCAGTACAACCTCGAGTCGTTCATCAGGGAAGTGCCACGTCATCTCAACCTACAGAAGGACTGTCGGTCCGACACAAGCACCATCACGGCTAGTATACGAGCTAAAAGTCAGGTTAGTAACTAATGAAATATAAGTTCATTCATAGGCGCGTTCACTAGATCTATATGTGAGAACCATCTTTATCACTGCAGAGAAGCTGTTTTTTTTTAAATATAGTGCGTGACAATTTACCTACATCAGTCAGTGTAACAAAAATATATTGCTTTGAATTCAGAGCAATTTTCAGTATAGTGAGTATGCACCACTGAACGTGTCAAATATTGAAATTACGTGTCTACATTATCAATAATTTGTAGCCCCTAGTATAACTTATAGGTACTATTTGCTTACTACAGGTATTATATTTTCCTGTCGAGATAACAAGACTACCGCGCCCCAGAAAAGACGCCTTAGAGCCACTGCACATCATATGGCCTCACAGATGGTAAATTACACTAATGGCGCGTCTGTTCTTAACTTAATAATTTCAAATTACCACAATTCTTCCTTTATTTGAGTCAGGTCCTATTATATCTCGGCAATCACTAGGTATTTAACTACGAAGTTGCTATTCCCATTTTACCATTTTTGATAATCTGAGATTTATGTGCTGCTGGTGTGTTTATAAATTGCATTTTATTTTCTCGCTGTTATTTGGAAGATTCTGTTTTCTTGAAAAGTTTGCATTTTCTAAGTAGTCGATTTCTGTGCAGGGAACACGACAAGGACCCGGAAACGTTTTTCCAAGTTTTGTTCCAGCTGGCAGAACTTCAGTTGAACTTCCGTGTGTCTGTTCTGGGCGAGAACTTCTCTCAAACTCCCAGCATATTTGAGGAAGCCTTCCATCGCCTCAAGAACTTCATCGTCAACTGGGGTTATGCGCAGACTAGGGATAAGTGAGAGAACTTCCATCGAGTTCCATGCACCAGAGCTAAGGGAGAGAATATTGATGCACTATGGTTAAGAGAGAGAGAGTTTTGATGTATCAAGAATAAGTGAAAAGGATCTAATGTATTTGGTATAAGTAAGAGTGCTTGGGTCCATCAGGGATAAGTTATAGGACTTAAATGCACGTGGAATAAGTTATAGGACTTTGATGCACCAGGGATAGGTTATTGAACTTTAATGCGCCTTGGATACGCGAGGAGACTCAGATGCACCGAGCTTGAGAGAAAGAACTTCAATGCATTAATGCTTCAGGGAAACGTGGGTTTACATTAAACCATCAATCGTTTATTTCATGGCTGGGTTCATGAACGATTCTTTAGAAAAGTAAAAAGAGAGGGATAAAAATATCAATGGTACAGATAAATTTGCATACTTTATTGTATGTTGTTCGTGTACGTTCATAGTAATGAAAACTGACATATCATAGTAACTGACATCACACGCCTGTAGTAGTGCTCTGTATAATCTAATGTAATGTAGTGTAGTAATGTGTAGAGTGCGAGGCTATGGTGAATATAGCCTCAGGATATATTCAGGTGTTAGATTAGAATTTTTAGCTATTTTCTTGCAGGTATTGGGAAATACTGCACTCGGGTGACGTTGTGGTGTCGACCGCTCATCACGAGTTCTTTGGGGTTGCCATGCTGGAGGCTGTGGGCGCAGGCTGCCTCCCACTCTGTCCCAATCGTCTTGTTTATCCAGAAATTTACCCAAAAGTTGGTATTTTCCACTTATCATATGTTTGAGAAACTAAGCATAATCCGATTGGCTATAATCTCTCTTTTAGAAATGTTTTATACAATCCTTGTGAGCTCCTGAAACTTGGAAATAACTTCATCTTGTTTTGGTTCCTTTTAATAATCAATTACCTCCTACAGATTTAAGTGGGCATATAACATGTTCAGCATAAATGACGTAATTTATAATGGTTTCTAGCAGTTGGAAAATTGAATACGCTAGTACGTCTGCTCTGAAAAGTATGCGAATGCTACTACATTTAGCACTAATTAAAAAATTTGTAACTCATAAAATATTTACAACAATTGTAATAAAATTGAATAATTGGACTAACTTGTGCAGGTTTATTTCTGTCATATGAAGCATTAACGCACAATGTGCAATAAGCAAATAATTAATAATATGTTGAATGAGTAATTCATACACTTCTTTAGCTCTCAAAAATTTATTAGAAAATACAGTGAATTATCAAATGCGTCTCTTATCATTTATGTACGTTTGTATATTTATAACTTGTTCATGTAACTATGTATAGTTGTTTGAATTTAACTTCACCATCAGGAGTGTTTGTACAACACGCAGCAGCAGCTGGTCAAAGCGCTGGCTAACTTCTGCCGTTCCCCTCACCATCTGCGCTCCGCGCTGCGACCATCTCTGGATCTGAATAATTTCAGCTGGTCTACTCTAAGACCTCAGTACGCTCGCCTTCTCGATCTTGCCGACTGAAATTTATAGGAACCTGGTATGGAACATGTGCCTACTGACACATTCTAGGAACATGTGTCTACCGACACATGTTTTTCGAGCATCTGTGAACGTGGGCAGCATAAAAGACGTAATTTATGATGGTTTCTAGCAGTTGGGAAATTGAATGCGTCTGCTCTGAACATGTAATGAATTATTGAACAGGTAATGAATGATTTCGTTTGCCAAACTGAAATGATAGATTCAATTGATTTAGTTCGGTTTTGATTAAACTGAGCCCTGGACTAAAGGGCATCTATTCCTTATGTTATTTTTCGCTCAGACGTTCGTCGTCAAATGCAATTTTTTGTCATCAAATGCTACGGTTAATAGCTCATACTAAGGTCGGGTATCATTGTTAATTTTATAAATATCTAAGTAGAAAGGAGAGTGGCCTGTAGTAGGTATTGTAGGTAACTTAGTCTGTCTGATGTCGTCAAGTAGTTAGTGACTATCACGTCTTGAAGTTGAAAATTACTATTTCCGTCTCGAAGTTGCCGTTGACTCGAGTATCTTGTAGCTGTTGCTTGGTGGTTTATCTCATAGCTGTTGCTAGGTGGTTTATCTCATAGCTGTTGCTAGGTGGTTTATCTCATAGCTGTTGCTAGGTGGTTTATCTCGTAGCTGTTGCTAGGTGGTTTATCTCGTAGCTGTTGCTAGGTGGTTTATCTCGTAGCTGTTGCCAGATGGTTTATCTCGTAGCTGTTGCTAGGTGGTTTATCTCGTAGCTGTTGCTAGGTGGTTAATCTTGTAGCTGTTGCCAGATGGTTTATCTCGTAGCTGTTGCCAGATGGTTTATATCGTAGCTGTTGCTAGGTGGTTTATCTCGTAGCTGTTGCTAGGTTGTTCAGTTCAGTTTGCTGGGTGATGTCTTGCCGTAAAATTAATGGTTAGATTTCCAGCCGTAATTGGTGGGGTTATTCCTACCGTAGTAGAAATTAACTAAAAGGCCATCACGTAGCTATAGTTTATTGGACCATCATGTAGCTTTAGTTGATAGGGCCAGCATGTTGCTATAGGTGATTAGACTATAATGTAGTTTTAGCTGATGGGCCAAACATGTAGCCAAAATTGGTTGGGCTATCATGTAGCTGTAGTTCTTTGAGCTATTTGTAGTTGTAGTTGATAGGGGGCAAACGTGTAGCCATAGTTGTTGGGCTAGCATGTTGCTATAATTGATTGGGCTATAATGCAGTCGTAGTTGTTAGGGCTTGGATTTTGCCAAAGTTAGTAGGGCTAGCATGTTGCCATTGTTGTTTGGGCTGTCGTGTGGCCCTAGTTTAATGAGCTATCATGTAGCCAAAGTTGGATAGCCTATCAGGTAGCTATGGTTGATTGACTATCATGTGGCCTTGTCCGGTTAGACTATCGTGTAGCTGAATTTGAATGGGGGCCATCATGTCGTTGTATCTGAATCAACTATCATACATCTGTACTTCAACGGGCGACCATTTATCTGTTTGAATTGGCTATTATTTATACGTATTTGGATGGGTTATCATGTAGCTGTAATTGGGTGGGCCATCATGTAGCTTTAGCATAATTAGCGATTATGAAGTTGCAGTTCAATGGCTTACTTTCTTTTTGCCGAGGTTTATAGGTCGATTTCATAGCCGCCGCAGGTGGCTCAATTTTGTCGATCTCACGAGTTTCTCTGTGGAAAATGTAACATCCATCAGCTTGGTGAACGTTTTGAAATGCCTGAGATGGTCATGTAGTTCTGACCGCCCCTGAAATGTGTTCGTACAGAATCTCAATACTAACCTTAAAATCCTTGGTAAATCTTTGCCATCAGGCACTATTCGTTTCTAATGCAGAGACTATTGTGTCTTTGAATTGTATTTTTTTTTGTTTAATAAACTTTTTCAAATAATATCTTAATCGGTTCCTTACGTCCAGTTAACGTATTGCTATTCGTAACGCGACATATCTAAACAAGGCATGAGCTAAATTTCCTCTACCATGCATAATTAAAAGGACTTACAGAGCCTGGCTTCTGTCCAAACAATCGGCGAGTACTTCAAGAAACAGTCAATGCCTGCATCATTTTTTTATGTTGAATTTCTAAATCTGAGATTCGATCAATATAATTTTTTCTGGTCAATTTTTTCCTGATAGGACATTGTAAAATCAACTGCCAGTGCTTTCAATTGGGAGAAAATATTTATTTTCTGAATACGCGGATAGCTTGCTTTCGCCTTTCAGGATGCCAAGTAATTTGCATTAATGATGTAAATGATTTGGCGTGTTGCAGCTCCACAATTTTTCCAATGGCCTTCTTAAAAACTATGTTTTTCTCAGGCAGACGTTTTTCATGAACTAAAAAGTTTCAGTAACGCCCTCCGAAAGTCTTACCGGAAAGGATACAAAAATTTTTCACTTTTGCCTTCAATTAACTCCCTGTTATGTTATCCATGTTAATTTGAGGCACATCGGGCTTAAATTTAATCACGGACAAGCGGTTAGATATATAAAAGAATGTCGGGCCCAGACGAAGTGGGATTGCAAAAATACTGTCCTGTTATTGGAAAAGAATGAATGCTATAAATACTGAAAGATTGGCGCCATATATTTTTCATTGACTGGTCTTATGACCAACCCTGTATATATAGATCAGTCGCCATAAAACTGTAGATGTTCATGAGTAACGAGACGACGAATCGATAATAATTAGAATTCATATGCCAATTCAATTTATTACTTTAAACAAGTTAATCTAGAAAGGATTCCTTCAGCGTATCTAACAATATCAATTATCTCCTTATTTTGACTAAACAGCAAAGTAGGTGTTTGTATACGTGAGGATAGCGTAATGCTAAACACGTCTTTGCTTTATTATTTAATTATTATTTGGCGTTTAGCATCAAAGGTTTGCTACATTAGTTGTAAATTCTGCATTAATTTTTTACAGTGGCAGTATAAAACTTGTTCTTGAGTTTAGATAGGTCCGTTAATGAAATACAAAATACATTGCACTAGAAAATATGTATACAACATGTATTATAAGTTCAGGTTGCTGTTCAGTGCGAAATGATATTCAATATTTCACTTAACTATTGGGCGAATCTACGCTCAGAAATAACACCATGACGACCTGTAACTGAAAAAAAAAACATGACGACCTGTAACTGAAAAAAAACATGACGACCTGTAACCGAAAAAAACATGACGAACAAAACTGTTTGGCGCGTCGACCGAATGACAGTAAAATAATTCCTTCGCTTAACACCATACTATGCGGTCGCCTATGAAAGATAACAAATGAACTGAGAATAAAACAAAACAGTGAAATTGGTACGTTGTATGTATAAAAATGGTCCCCGTCATAATACTGATCAACTGTTTGCGTGTTCTGCAAAAATCTGGAAAGATACTAAATGTGTCGCGATTAATAGAATCATTTCAATAGCTATCCCTTCACACTCAAAGAAAATCAGGCTTCGGTTTTGATAAAAAAAAAGGCAAAACTCCACGCAGAAAATAACATTTGGTATCATAAAACGTAGTAAACCAAGGTTTAGATCACAAGAGATAAGCACCAAAAAGATGACTGTTCAGGTACCTCTACGAGACACACCAGCCGACAGATAGTTTACAACATTAATGTTGTGTAGAAACATTCACGAATGTAAGTAGCATCTTTTATTCTCTTCAGCCGCCACCCTGCGCTCCAGTACACAGTCCTGGTATACGCTTCAAGTTGCAAACAAGAGCTAATGGTAGATACAGGACTTCCAAATAAATTTGTCTAAGAAAAAGCCCAGGTTTCTCATTTTTTCTCAATTATATTAGGAGAACTATTCTTAAACTAATATACTATGTATGTACAACAAGTAATGACTATCAAGGTTCACAGGGAAGAATGTAACTGTAGCCTGGCGGTGAAATTTGTTATCCACTTTCTCAATAAATGAAAGACCCGAATGTTAGCTAACTGAAGCAGGAAGTATTATATTTAGCCTTATTGTATAGTTGACTAAAATAACCTTTCTTTCAATACAAAATCAAAATATCTTCATACTTTACAAAATATTAAAAACCCAAAAGCTACTAACGACTGACATCATTTTGTTATTAACTAGACAATCACAGTTAAGAAACGGAATCAATCGACCATCAAATTTCATTCCTAAAATTTTCACTTTGTTGTAAACAGCATAACGAGTTCGATGGTGACACGCCAAACATAACCAGCACCAGTTTTAAAGTGTAAAACGAAAAATGTACGAAACGACTAAGTACGAAAAATATAAATCCTTAATTTCAGTTCGCATGGAATTTTTTTCCGTTCCAATCATCCAAATAAGATCGGCCATCTAATGGATACCAGTTTCATTTTCATCGCAATTTAATTAAGTAGCCTCCATCATCCCCCAAAACCTATCAACTGTTTTCCCATACTATTGAAGCTACAAAAATACAAAAACAATAACAATTCACGATGTATCAAACGCTCACAATCACACACTCATAAAAACAAGCTACACGTCAAAAAGCTGCCAGTCCAGGCTCCGAGCTCACAACGCTCCTAGGGAGCAATGGCATCTTCAATATGAAAACGTGCACCATTTCTGAACCAGAAATGTTGTGGCATACTAAAAATGAATTCACTGTATCGTTACATTTATCGGAAATCTTGCTTCGTTAAAAAAACTGCACTTCAATATCGATTTATTGATGTGGACTTCATACGTTGAATCACGACTCACCCGGGCAGAATTAGTATGAACATACATAGCCCTAGCTTACAGCACTTACTTCCATGACTTCGTTTTCAACTCTAAACTGAAAGAAGCTAGAGCCATTCTGCCATATTAAAGAGCGCTTTCCTATTAAAATCAGTTACAATAGCTCCGACATCAGATAGTAAGCTACTGACTGATATAATAATTCATACGTGTTCCGGTGTAATTTTTGTCTCAGTAGAGTAAAATACGTGAGTAGGTCAATGTTTGGATTGGATTTTTTTCTCGCGATCGTCGTAGAGACTGAGCGGACACGTGAACTTCTTCCCTTCGACGAGAGACTTCAGACCCTCGCCTCCGTATGATACCAGCGGAGAAATTTCCACCACCACGGGATTCTCGTCCCAGTTCAGCTCCTTCTGGCTGCAATTTGAAGCACAAATTAGTATCAATTAATGAGTACTGAGGAGTAAGTTTTGTACTGTGAAACACTAAAAGATTTATTTGTGCGCAATTATGAAAATTGCCGAAGCCATTGAAATTTTAGCAGCATAGTAGAAAAACCTGTCTTGAGATTTTCATTGAATTCGCTGCAGCAGAACTATTATAATATTGATTACTATATAAAATAATTACTGACGTCACAAAAGTAAATAATAATGTTTGCAATGATCAGCGTCGGATAAAACGCAAGCTGCAGAGCGCTCAAATAACAGCAAAACTTGAAGTTTACGTTAGTAAGTCTTTATGAATTTACTCAAAAAAATACTATACAATTGCAGGTATTTAACTCGTATACATTGCAGGTATTTAATATCAAATAAACCTCGTACCAACGTGTATTTCTAAATCTAAAGCATTACATATTCTAAGCAACTTACATACATTACCAAACACGTCCTCTAACCTAAACGATGAAGTAAATGTAACGAAAGCATGAATCAGCATTGACATATTAAAACGACATAGAAATGGAATATAGATTATCATCTGGAAAGAAAACTTAAATGCACACCAAGCCCCAGGAGCCGTGAAGAGCCAAAAGCAAAAAACTGAACGGAAGAAAATTTACATCTTAAACAGAGATATCCGTTTTGATTGAATTACTAGAATCGAGTTTGGTAGGTTAGACAATCAATCCAAACTCAGAGCATCGCTGAAATTTAAACGTTTAGCTATTTTAGGGCTTAGCATAGTCTGATACCCAACGATCAATTTAGAATTGAAGCAGAAATTGTGGCGTCTAACCTTGAATAGAAAGAAAACAGAATCTGGTAACCGAATTAGAGATCATATTACCACCAAAAATGTCATGAAATGAACATTATTGAGACGCTTGCTTACCTGCATATATCGGGCTAAAAATAAAACTGCCATCGTTTTGCCAACTGCCATTTACAAGTGATAATTAATCTAGTAAAGTAAACATCACCATTGAAGCCATAGGTCGGTTACATAGATACGCAGATAACCGCAGGTTGCTGCTCAGAAAAGCTCATTCGTCAACACAGACACAAGGTGAGAAATCATTGCCGACTGAAACGTACGTACACATTCAACACAATAATCACCGCAAACTCCCGTTTAAATCGTTGATAAAATAAGATAATCACCACAAACGCCCAAGCGAAAAGTTAAGTATCACCAGGATGTCTTTTATAAATAACATAAAAAGTGCTAAGTTATTTTGAATGACATCTCATATTTATTTATTTAAAATGAGAAGCAGGTATGGCAACAGAAGCAGAGGGGACTCACTCAGAGTTATTATTTGTCTCCGGGCAGCCGTTTTCTGAACATTTAGGAGCACGAGCGGGGCTGGGGTGGGAAAGGTAAACAAAGGGAGAGGGTAAAACAAAGCTCAAACTCGTAAAACAATGAACGGGTCAAACTGACGCGAAATTCTTCGGCATATATAACAAATACGAATATTAGTTGCTCATTTCAGTAGGACTAGTACAAGTTTTAAATTGCATATTGTGAAAAACGTTTGATCTGGAAAAGTTGAAAGTTTGAAGAAAGTGAAAAGAAATACCAAGTATCGAATAAACTCGAAAAGGACAGATTAGTGCAATACGTTCACAAAAATAAAAATAAAACTTGAAAATAATTCACTATTTTCGTTTATGATCGGAAAAATTAAAGCAAAGTACCAGTCAACAACTCATTCATAATATTTCAAAATTCCCCCCGCCCCCCCAAAAAAATAAAAAAAAACAGGCGTGATAAGAGAGATAATAATTCTACCTAAAAACTTCAAAACCACATACATTGCTGGACGATCATACCAAAAGGATCAAACAATTTGGTACATTTATATCAAGATTCCGCAGCTCTAACGACGGTCGAATCCTATAAATGCATTTAAAGAAAGACTGTGATGGCCAAAAACAGTAATTTATGCGTATTAATACAGCTCTTTATGTGCACTAGTTGCAGAGCTTGCAACTAAAACCAAATTGAGTACAATTGAGAATACACATCACAAGGGATAGATAGTTTAGTGAAAGATAGTTTAACAAACTCATAAAAAAAGGCAACTGGAAATTATCTGATAAAAACCTTTTCACACATGAGCCACAAATCTTCACAGCCATTAGCAATCCCTTAAATATGGTCCACTCAAAAATATACGATTTTCTAAATGGGTTAAATAAACACGATTAACATAAAGCAATATAAAACTCTATTGCTTTAAGACGAATTAGCCACACGCCATAAAAATGCTTGGTGCCCAGCCTCCCTCACACTGTGCTGCCACACGCAATAACACGCGAAGTAACGACCTCATCAATTATTTAATTGATTATTGCTGTGATTTCCAACTTACGAATGAATAATTTCTAGCAATCGATAGATACATTATTGGAACGATTAATGTTCAGCATTCAAAACTTTATTATACAATTCAGCAAGGTTGGGAATCACTGCAAGCGTCGCTACTGCGACCAAGACGCAGCAGGTTACCTGAATTCACTACCGTTCACTGAGGCACCCAAATTGCCGGTCCTAAAGGAAAGGATTGCGGTAAAAAAAATACAAATCCAATTCGTGTTCGTGATTCTAGTCCCAAATTGATTATTTTGAGGTATAAGGGCTTGGTTGAAATCAGGGAAAAATCCCTTTAAACTAAAACACTACAGACTATATTCTCAATTGGAAGAAAGTAACACCATTGTAGAAAATAAATGTTGCTTAACCACTCGTCCATGGATACATTAACTTTTTAGAGTGCAACTCGTATCTACAGGTCTAGTAACGAGAGAAAGTCAGTAGTCAATTGGGTATATATATTTATACAAAGTATAGATGAAAATTCATTTCACTCTGAAAAGGCACACCACCTAATTTTTTAATATCTCACCTATGAGAGGCAGCAGAGTTCTCCCTGTCTGGGTAAAGGATAATTACCTTCCTAACAACAACATTCCATAAATACAATAAACGATGATATACTAAGTTTAGTATAAACATCCCACCTGGGAATGAGAGGCAGCAGTTCGCCCTGACTATCGACAAGCTGGCCCCCAGCGTGCAGCAGGTAGCGCTGGTGCAGGGAGTAGAGGCTGTGGCGACACGTGCTCGGCGTGTCCTTCTCAGCGCCGTCGCCGTTCTTCAGAGGAGCGAACTCGTCTTCTCGGATCACCTCCCAGACTGCCAGCGTGCTGCACAGCAAACGTCCATCTTAATTTTAGGCAAAGAAATTTAGGATCAAAATTTAGGGAGATTTTTTGGGTTTTTTTATGAAAATATTCTAATATAGGTATATTTTCATAAAAAATTAGGAAAATTTTTTAGGAGAAAAATTCAGGAAAATAAATTAGGAAAACAGTTTTTAGGAAAAACAGTTTTTTGGAAAAACAGTTTTTAGGAAAAACATTTTTTAGGAAAAAATTTTGTAGGAAAAAAATTTTTAGGAAAAATTTTTTTAGGAAAAGCCAAGCAGTCAAACAAAAAGATGCTGCTCATCAAACTTTGAAGTCAGTTGTGATGAAGATGAGTTGACGCGGCAAGAAACTCAAGCATTTAAACAGAGAGTGATGCTCATCAAACGTACATGTCAGTTATAGTGGAATGACTTAGTAGGCATGAAACCCTCGAATTGAAAGAAACAGATTGAACAATGAAACATTGCATCGCTCGCCGCCCAACTTAAACAGCTAATTATTTATTAATTAAGTTATCAACATGCTATCGAAATGTAGAATAATAGGGCTAAATGTGAATAATCTTGCTGCCAGCTGTAGGAAGGGACACATGAACACAAGCCTAAAGCACTGAAACCCATAACAGAGATGGGACCATAACCTGTTTCTAATCTAATATCAATAATTAAGCTTACTCACATCCGATCATCCCATACAAAAAAAAAAGAGGAAGAAAAGCAAGGAGCAACATCACAGCACTCGTGCTTCCAAAGGTGGAAAATACAAATACCCATCCTTTTTTGACTATAGAACACAGCATCGATTAAGACTCAAAATAATCAATAAGAACCTAGCGCACTACATTAATTAAGACTTATAATAATCTTTCAGACCCGGGCCTAAAACTCCATATAATCTCTCAGACCCTACAACTAAGATTTAAAATAATAACTGAACTCTGACCTAGAGAACTGGAAGACATCGAAGACAAATTTCTCCATCTTGATGCCGTTGGGAGCTTCAGGCTTGACTGTGTTGCCGTGAGCGTCGCAGTGAGGGATCTTCTTCTTGGCTACGTGGTGTCTCATGCCAGCCTCGTAGTCGCTGTTGGTGCAAGGTAACATTTAGTTACACATAAATAGAATTATCTTACATTTCTAAGTCAGAACTGGAAATTATTTAATAAATGGATATAATTCATTAAGTTAGGAGACGCGGTTCCAGTCTCGAATTGAGGTATCAATTTACTTCTGATATTAACCATTTCAGGAAGCGAGATTTCATGTAAACCTTGCAGAAAATATATTCAACGCACTATTTAACAATGGATACAATTAAAGTATACAAAAAAGTTTGTTTATAGTAAATATTGAATTTCATGTAAATCGTAAGGAAATGATTGTCTTGTAAAAATAACAATACAATAAAAACAAGAAATATAATGCAATTTGGAACAAACAGTAATATAATGCAATAATATACAGGAACAATACAGTACATAATGCCAGTACTTCACCACACGAAAATGTCTGAAAAAATTACTATTAAAATGCAACAAATCTTACAAATGGTATCCTCCCGCACAAATGCATCCAACATATCAATTCTTGTTGCTATCTCCCACGGAAAACTACAGAGAAAATGAGCAAAGATGGTAGACAGGCACGTGCATTTCAAAGTAAATATTTTCAGGAGATAAACCTATAAACAAACGTAAAGAATAAGAGTCGTTAAAGCCTCGCAAACAATACTCTCTCAGTCGATAAAAACAGACATCATCATTTTTAGCAATAATGGAATATCAATAGGTATAATTTAAAGGCCGGGAAGGCAGGAATTAAAGGAATTATACGAACACAAAAGATTCAGGCAACACACATGTTACCTTCCGCACAATGCAGAAATGATTGACAAAACAAAACTAGAATAAGTTAAGAGTACCATTACAAAAAAAATACGCAAGCAAGGTCAGCAGTCTATTGAGGTTCATTAAACTAGGTTAGGGGCAACCAAATATATAACATACTATATACGGATGCTGTAATGCTATACAATAACGGTTAAATAAATATCAGTTTATCCACAACAGTTGAGTTGCAGATAACACAATTACTTCACGGCAGGCGTTAAAACGAAGCAAAAAACGGACATGTTACAATACTTTGTAAACGAGAGATGCAGAAGTATAACATACGCGACTATTTATAACAGCAGGTAAGTATTAAAATACTTGGAAATGAACTAGCAACAAATAAATACTGTAGTATTTGTCAATGCCAGGCCACAGAGACGTAAGAATAAACGCATGACAGCAAGACTACGTGGTACATACGAGGGCTGACTTCTTCGATACTCACCGACTGCCATCACCATAAAAAAGAAAAATACTATTAGTCATACATAATGAAACTCGGACTATGCGTGTAATAAATGCTGCAGACAGGAAATGTTGATAATTATTATTTATGGTGGTAGGATCTTTTCCTTTCTTCTACTATTACCGTTGAAGATTTTCCTCGAGCATTAACACAAGCCTACTTCTGATACGTGATTCTTCCCTCCAGGCCCGAAATCTAAGGTATTTATGTGGCCTATGCAAAGCTCAACGATATTAAGACTAATTAAGACTAATGATACGCGATATTAAGACTAATTTTCACCATGTCTCATCTTTAAGGATACTAGGTAGCCTATTGATACATTCAATTTATTGGTCTTGTCTACTTGTCTTAAAACATAATTTCAGCCGTTGTGTTAAATAGTTTCATGGCATAAACTATCAAAATTTGCACTATAGGCATGGTAGTTACAGGAGTAGTATTTTTCGTTTCATATAGGTGCAACACTGGAAGCTCTAGTTTGATAATAAAAAGAACTGCATGTTCCGTTACAGGGGCCGAAAAAATTACATCACCAGAGTCTTTCTTAAACAAATTTTTTAGCATTATTGATTGAAGCCTGCACCAATATATTGATTCCCCATCTATCCAAAAATTGCATCAGCTTTTGCGCCAAAGTTTTTTGTTTAATATTTACGCTGCGAAAGTGAACTCACTAGACGACATTCTTGAGGAATTCTTGCGTGAAGAAGTGGTTGCAGATGTTGCCAGCGGAGAAAGTGAGGCGGCCGTCTGGGTTGCGCTTCTGGGCGGTCTTCAGAGTAATTTCGCTGTACTCGACCACCTGGTACACGTCGTCCACCTTGCACACCACGCCTGTAACATACGTGCACGTTTTAACTCTCGCGGGGCCTCTGCAAGGTTTGTCTGTTAAAGAAGTTAACTCGTGACAGCTATATGATGGGCGCTTGGAAAATCTCCTTTCATAATCATGAAAATAATCTAATTCCACTAATAATCAGCCTATAGCCAACCACATAAAATGAGCTAGAACTTGTAATACAGTGGCGAAGGTAAAGGATGAGCAAAAATTTTTAATCTTGCGACTATCACTGAGCAAAAACAGAGAAGGCTGTGATTACCTATTGACCATTTATGAGAAAAAATTTGAAGCCCCATAGCCAATTAATTGTGTTTACACGATTACAATACCAGGGATGCGCACATTAAAAAAAAGCATAAACTCGTGCTATTTTTCAAATAAACAAAAATTCCAATCTTTTTTTACCGACGCTAATAGGGGAATCCTAACGATCAAGCAGGAAACAACTTGAGCATGATCACCAGCATGTTTAAACCGACGCTAACAGATGATAGCAAACAATTAAGCAGGAAAAATGTTCTCACCAACAGCCTCAGTGGGGAAGGCTTTCTCGACGACCTTAGCTCCGCAGTCGGCGCCCTTGTCCATGCAGTAGCCCATGAAGACAGGGTCAGCCATTTTGACCAAGATGTTGTCCACGCAATATACGTGAATGTATTTAACGCCACGACGATCCATGTCCTCCAGGATCTTCTGAGACTGGAACAGAAAATAATGCATACATTTAACATGCCGTACGTATATTGATACTGATATAAATAATAGGATTATTAGATAAGATTGAGCGTGCTAAAAATTGACTGTAAGCATGAAAAATAACGCTCGGAATCGTTTACCTGCAATGTCACATTTTTTTATCTTTCTTGCAAAATTAATAGTAATTAAGTAACATCTCGCCAGAGCAAAAATCGCACACATGACTTTAAGATATATAAAAATAATCCACGTGCCAAAACACCATCAAATAACAAGTTTACAACAGAAATGCAACGACAAACTAATGCTATACTCACTCGAACCAGCAAATAATAAGTCTACAACAGAAATGCAACGACATCCATTGATAAAGCTAATGCTATACTCACCCGAAGTGCTCTGTAGAGACCACCGTTACCGTCCGGTGCTCTGGCAATCTTCCCAGGAGCCTCGAGGATAATTTTGCCGTCAAATGTGAAGCAGGGGAGCATGCCTTGCTCGAACACGACCAGGTTCTCCTTCTGCAGCCCGAAGTAGTCGTGCTTGGCAAAGAACTCCATGGTGGGCTCCTTGGTGTGCTCAGACGTCATGATGTACCATGGAACAGCTCCAGACTTGCCATGCATCGCAGCACCCAACTCCTGGAGCTTCACCAGCCGTTCCGCTTGGATCTGCAATACAGAACACATCAATCAAAATTTCATTTTTATTATAGGTTTATCAAAGATTATCTATAGAGCACGTGATTTATCATATCATTTTATTGGTAAATAACAAGATATTCGTCGGTAAGTTTCGGATAACAACAAACTAAAATTATTACTACTTAATATGAATTACAAGAAAACTTCCAGGGCAAATTTTTTACAATAAAATAGTACCGAGCTCAAGTTTCTCCTAAACTGTTCATAGTAATAATAATTTTAATAATAAAATAGTAAAACTAATTACACTGGCCAGAAAACTGGAATCAAAAATTTGGTACTTGAACCCTTACTTCTCACAGACTCGAACGAAATTCAGAGCGGGAGCAGGACGCACCTGGTTTCTTCACACATTCATAAAAGATATGAATGAATTTCAGAGATAATACACGTACCTGATATAAGGTCCACACATTCATGAATGATATGAATGAATTTCAGAGGTAATACACGTACCTGATATAAAGTCTTGTGTGAAGGCAGGCCCACGTCATACATGCCCTTAGGGTATGACACGCCCAGTCTCGTGCCCTGCCCGCCCGCCAGCAGCAGCACGGCCACCTGCCCTTCGCTTACAGCTTGCAAACCTAAGCATGCAGACAAAATATAAAGAATTTGCAACAGTTACGGTAGTTATAAATAATAATAATTAATCTTAAATGATCAAAAATAAATTGCATCTACCAAATACTCGGCAAAAACACGCTACGTTAACCAGAATTATTTTTGACATTATATCCAGTTCTCGTATAAAGGTATAATGTATATATGATAGCAATACACATATTCCCAGGGAATTGCACCTTCAGCGTCCAATTTAATTGAACCAAGAACCCCGCACGGGATGAAGGAGCTGGTTCCTAGTGCACCTTATGATCCTAACACTTCTTAGTTTACTCACTAACTCGTGCCAGCCTCACTGAGTACCTCATAAGCCATGATCTCCTCACACCCTGCAGCCCAGCCCCACTACCCACCCCGCTCCTCATAAGCCCCACCACCCACCCCGCTCCTCATAAGCCCCC